GGGATCTTTGAACTTGATAGTGGAATGCCTGTCCCATATGGATTGAATCCTTCCAACAGAATTGTCTTTACTTTGTATATATCTGTGGATTTGTTCCCACACTGAACTCCTCTACACTATGCTTTTACTTTTCTCCTGGGTCTGTTTAGTCCACACTCTTCCTGTATACCTATTCTATTCTCACTGCCTCTCTTTGGCCAGTTCAATCATGATATCTGTTCTATTGCCTCTTGCTGATCCTGGGGCCTCTTTATCTTCTGCTTTGGAAACTCCTTCTTATGTCAGCTTAAGATGTCCACCTTTCACCATGGTGTTATACATCTTCATGTGCGGCTTTGGTCCACTTCATTACAAAACAAGTATTTTATTTTTGCAAAGTAGCCCATTTTTGATAGTAGTTCTTGTCAACCATCCACCCTTGCAACTCATCACTACATGTAGATAATTTATCATTGCTGGTCCATTTGTCACTCCTTTTCTTCAGGTCATCCAAGTCTTCCTCATCTCACTTCCTTTTTTTTTACCTGGCTTTTAGAGGGCAGTTTATACTTTTCTCCAAAAACTAGTTACAGTGTGGATTTGTCAATGACCTTTCAAATTTGCGCTTGTCATTATTTGATTCTTACAAACTTCTTTCCTGGTTCCTCTTCTGGACCCTTAAGGCTCTTAAATGCCTCCATTCAAACCTTTACACACCTTCTCCCTGTTATGTCTTTCTTTTGAAATATATTTTTTCTTCTTCTCACTTGCAGGAGACATCTCTGATATTTTTGCTTTGGACATCTTTAGCATTTTTACCACAGGAATAGAATGACTTTCTTACCAAACCAGTTCTTTCTCCCTAAGACCTGGGCTGCTCAGGAGTGTGATTGAATGTATTTTCCAATCACCCTCCCTTCACTGTCTTTTTTTCTCCATATGATCATCTTTTTTCTTGTCCAAGCAGATCCCTGTTATCTTGCTTGCACTTCTTCCTTTTAAAGCAGTTGAAATGTACTTTTTTGCCATGTGATTCTTCTTTTCATGACCTATCTCCTTCTACCTTGTCTGTTTGGGTGAAACAATTCATCCAGCTTTTTCATTTCTCTGTAGGAGTTGACTGTTTTCTTACTTTTCATTTCTTCTCCAAAATTCATCATTTCACAGATTCTCTTAAATCTGGTCATCAACATTCCCAGTGGCACAGTGGTTTGTCTGCGAGCTTACAGTGCTAGAAACTGGATTTTGTACCCGTGGTGGGTAGAGCACACATAGCACTGTGTAGCTCTGTGCTTAATTACAAACAAACAAATATTACAGGTAGGAATATGGATTTCTGGCACCTTTGTGTTGCATCACTTACACTACATTGCAGTTTCTTCTGCCTCCAGATTTCATCTCCCTCCATTCAGTATTCTCTGATATTCCCATAGGTTTATTTTTCTTGCAGATTCCACAAAACAAACAACCACCTCAAACTACATGAAGAAATTTGTGATCCACCACATGTTGTCTCATGGATATACTTCTCTGTCACCAAAATCCACATTGAATAGAGAATAACAAAAAGTGTTAAAGCCCATCTGCCCCAGCTCAGTGCCCACTGTTGAGATGTAGTTGTTTTACAAGACTGTTTTGGCATTTTATATATTTTACCTTCCAAGCCCTACTGCTACATAGTCTGTTGACCCCCTGATATATAAAGGTCACTTGAGCAATCTTTATATTCCATCCACGTATGCCTCACTTCAGCACTGTGTAGGAAATTCTTTTGACTACTATTCTGTACTACCACAGATATTAGGCAAAGGGTATTCCCTGCTTGATATAAGAGCTACTAGTAAGATTACTAGTAAGCAGTTAGTTTGTGAGATTAAATTTACAATTTTATATGAATACAAATACGTCAAGATAGTATATTATATAATGGTGAACAGAATGTACTAAATTACGTTTCTATAATGTGTACACATATGTAAACCAAAATACTTTTATAATAAAAGTGTATGCATTATCTAAATGCTAATAAAATAACTTATTAAATATTCACCTGTAAATATAAGCTATAAAAGAAACTCTTAAAATCTAACTTATTTTTTTCTGTTTGTTTAAAACCTTTTTACAGTTTTCTAATACTTAATATTTCTACCAATTTTATCTGCTTCAGGTGAATCTTCACTCTACTAAGTACAATAAACTTAACAGCACATGCCATTTTACTTATAAGATTAGTCATTATTGTGTATACAAAAATATTCTGGTATGAAGTGAGCCAACAATATTTTGAATCAAAAGAATGCTTACTCCACAGAACTCCATTTTTTTTATCCTTATTGCATGTTAATTTGTCATTGCACATTCAAACAAAAAAGTCATTTGTAATAATGATGCCAGGAAAAATTAGGATAGGTAGGTAGGATTTTATCAAAAACACAACTATCTTTTATTATACATATATTACATAATATATTTTTACAGCATTAAATATTAAATAAATTCAGCAAAGATGTATGGAATTAGTAAAGAATAAAATCAATATATGAAATAAGAGTTGAAAGGCTTGGGAATTTACAAATTCCTTAGTAAAAAAAAGGAAATATTTAAAAATAGTTATTTGTATCCAGGACCAAAACTATTATGATATTCCAATTAAATAGAGATCACTTTAATGGTGGCATTGAAGAAATGGGTAACTAATATTGATAAATATAAAAATCTTTTTTATAAATCTACGAGCCCCTCAGTGGCACAACAGTAAGACTGCAGACTTTCAATACCCATGGCAGGCGCAGCACAGATAGCTCATTGTGTAGCTTTATTCTTAACTACAAACAAACAAAATATATCCATGAGTTTAAAATAAAACATTATGAATATTTAAAATATAAATTATTGTATAGTAAATATTTTCAATTTATAAGTTGTATACTGCACACACACACACACACACACACACACACACACACCCCCAGTGGTACAGCAGTATGTATGTGGACTTATACTGCTAGAAACTGGGTTTTGATACCCGTGATGGGCAGAGCCCAGACATCCCTTTGTGTAGCTTTGTGCTTAATAACAAACAAGAACAAAAAGTTGTATACTTAAAATTTTATATATTAAAAATGTATTTATAACTATTACTCAGTGTAAAACACTTAAATACATCATTTCGATATTACTCTATTTATTATAGTTAGCTTAATATTCTAAATCAAACATGATCTAACACTCATGTAAATCTTGTGAATCATAATGGCAATATATATTGTAAAAGTATGCTTAGTTTTTAAAGTCATTATGATGTTGACTTTCTTACCTGACATAATTTTGAGTAAGTTCTAAATAACAATTACATTCTATGGACAAGTTCATTACAAAACTCGATCATGCAAATAATGGTTGAAAATGTCACCTTACTTACAATTTTGTTTTCCCTCAGACTTATGAATGTGATATTGCAATCACAGCCTATTATACATAAGCAATCATAGAATACGTTTGTGTAATATTATTATATACGAAAGCAAGTACATTGTAGAAGAAAATGTATATGTCATGTTTTTTTGTTATCTTAATACAATGATTAATATTTGCAAATTTTAATACAGCACTAACTTAATGATTTTGTTATTATTTAGTGAAAATGGATTAGTACATTTATATTTGTAATTTATCACACACTTACAAGGCTGGCAGGACTGAGTAGATAAAGAATACTGCTTCGCGAGCATTTGTTCTTTGATCGGAGATTTACAGGTTTGGTACATTCTAGTGCCTGTCACATCAACTGGGACACAAGTTGTGGAAAGTAAGAGGTGTGGTGTTACAAATATAACACTCATACAATGTAGAGAGAGTAAATTTATAACTTATTTAACACTAAAGGAAACAGTTATGCAAATTATAAGTTACAACATAACACAATGTAAAAACAGTAATTTTACACCTTATTCAACATTAGGAATTGTACAATTATAAATTATACACATAACACAATGTAAAAAATCAATAAATTTAAACTTTATTTAATATTAAAGTGGCCCAAGAGCTGATGGTGGGTACAGCTGGCCAGTGACCTTATTTCTGGTCAGCAGTTCAAAATTAGGGAGAGTAATATGTAGCCTTAGTAGCTTCTGTACCTTACCTTAAAAACAAATATAATGCTCCCACAGCTGAAAGGGTATGCATATTTAGTGACAATGGGAATTGAACTTGAGACCCATGAATCATGTCAGCCAAAAGCTGAACAAACTTGGATTAATCTAAAATAGTAGTAAGATATCATAATGCCAATACTTCAATTACTTGTATAGTTAGAATGCTTGAAAACAGTAATAATCTGAAACACTAATTTCAATGGCATTACACTATTGAAAATATAACCATATCTCATATTATTTTGTGCTTGACACGAAAACTTATTTGAGGATTTTAATTTCTCCAGTGAAAAAATAGTTCTACCTGAAAATTTAGACAAGGCAATTTGTGCAAAAAGTTTCAAATTAAAAGCAGAAACATTTCAAATGCACAATAAAACTTTTTATTGTGCATTTTAAATGTCATTCCTGCTTTTCATTTTCAATAGTTCTACCTCTTATTAGTTTTGTTTGTAGCATATGTGAAATTAGTCATGTTAATTATTAAGGTTATAACTTAACTTTAGAATAGTGCAAGAACCTGCATGATCATGGGCACCCACAGACATTTTTTTTGGGGGGGAGACAAAACTTGTTTGCAGGGGATCAGCTTTTACAGTGTAAGTCAACAGACTAAATGAATATGTGTTATGTGTACTTAAATTCAAACACAAATTTACAGTTTTAATAAAAATTACTAAAAATATTTGGTTTAACTACGATGCTAAGTTTACATCATAGTATGTAAAATTTTTTGTGAAATGTAAGGGGGGCAAATGCCCCCTCTTGCTGTGAATAATATTAAGCTTGTGATTTTATACTTTGAGTAATATATGCACTAGTTTTATTACGTAAAAGTTGTCTTAAGATTTTTTTTCCATCAAGGTTGAGCATCAAATTAAGAGCATCTTGGACATCCGCTGTAGCCGAATAAACCCATGGAAAACCAGAGAGAGAAGAGAAAAGCAAGAGCGAGACATTCTTAAAAATTCACTGACTGGTATATTGGCTCCACTAGAAATGTATGATGGGCTTCAGCATATATTTCATTATGATCACTTACACTGTGGTGGTGGATTTCACAAGAATGGACAGTTGTATCGTGTATGGATTATTCATTGGAGGTCTTTAATAATAGCCCATAGAGATCGTGCTATTAAACAACAGATAGAGAAATTGAAGGCAACTCATGGATAGTTATGTGTTAAAAACATGTAATGTTTGTTTAAAATATATATATATACATCTTATTGATTTTTAGATTATGAAAATTATGTTAGGATGAGTTGAATGAACTTCAAATGTATAGTTTAAAGGTAATTCATTACTGTGTAAAAGTATTTTAAGAAAAGATTTTGATTTTTGCTTCAGTTGGAGAACTAATAAGACTATGGTGTGTGTGTGTGAAGTTATTTTCAGTAGATTAAATGCTATTTTCTTTGAATACATGATAACTCAATAGTAATAAATAATGTAGTAGACTTCCATTTATGTAGGTAATAAATTTATGTATTTAATAGATAATAAAGATATTGTTTACTTATTTGCAAGTATAAATTCTCTAAACTTTGTGTTACATATCAGAAACAGTGTCATATAATCAATTAATCAAATTAGTGTTTCTGATTGTTAGTTTTTTTTATTATTCCATCAATCAATTTAATTAAAATTAGGGTATTCGATTATTCCAACTAATTGAAATATTGCCAGCAAATTTTCTCACCCCATCTTTGAAATAGCAAAATTACTAAGGCTATCTGCCACTACTGTTAAGTGTAAACTGCTGACTAGAGAGAAGGCAGCTGGCCCTACCACCTACATTCTTATTTTTGTTGAACTTCCAACAGGAGGGAAAGCAACTAGTGGGCAGCACCCACAGCTAATATTGTATTTTTGTTGTACGGCTGACTAAAGAGAAAGCAACACCCACAACCAACATTTGTATTTTTGTTGAACTGCTGGCTGGTTGTATCTGCTGCTAACTTTTTTATTTCACATAGTTTGAAGAACACTGTACTAAGTGATTAATTGGACCATTGTTTAATTGATTACCAGATACTACTAATTGTCCAGCACTGCCTCTCACTACAACTAAGAAAATAGGGTTGATATACGTTGGCAAAATGGTGACAATGAAAGGTATAAGAAGATAGTTTATTGAAGATTGAAGGCAAGGAAATCAGATATAAGGTGAATCTATAAAAGTTTTTAGCTTTAGTAATCTCATAACTGAATCTGACATAACTAGAATATAAGAGGTTATAAATGAAACTTTACTGGCAAAACTTTAAAATTACATCCTTCTCTGGTGCTTTACCGACAAATTATAACCATGTATTGAGCGTAACTAGACAATCATTAGTCGAGTCAAAATTTTAACCTGATAACAATGATGTGCTTCAGACTGAAGGATGTTACATAATTCTCTTTAAATTTCCAATAATAAAACCAGTGAATAAGATTGCTTAAAACTTGACAAGAACTTTTATAAAAGTTGTTTGAGAAAAATAAAATATTAATTTTTATTTTTTCTACTATTTCTACCAAAAATTCATTATATCCCAGATAGCAATCACAAGTTAGCCCACAATACGTAGTTAGGTTTCCCCAATGGTGGCAGGTAGGTTGGCACAACATCAGACAGTCTTTGATAACAATCCTTGGTACTAGCCTACACAGGGTTGTAGCTAGGACGATTTGAGTGGTTGGTGGTGAAAACCAGTCTAACTCGTAGATGCATGTGTCTATGACTGCCGCCATCATACCACCCCCCATTTCCTCAGCAAGGCAACAAAAAAGACATGTTTATAATTTTAATAACTTTGAAATTTGTAAATTCCTTTAGAAAGTCCAATAAAATACTCCACACGAGCAGTCACTAGGCAAACACGTGTTTTAAGCAATGTTCCCTCTAATTTTTTCATGTGCATCAGTATCAAGGTAATGTGCAGATGTGCTTCCAGTTTTTTAGGAGGGGGGGGGGAGTTTTTATACCATCAACCCTATTGGATGATTAGGCTGCTTTGCAGTGCTACCAGTTGGTTATTTGTGCTTTCGGCCTATCAGCTGCCAGGGTCATTAAGGCTGTCAACATGTTGAGACTCTTCACCATAACCTGAGGATCTGCACAGCTGGAATAAAAATTAGTGCACTGCACTTGATTGGTTGTTGTGCAGTCATGCAGCTTAGACTAACTAAGAATTGCAGAGACAAAGTTTACTCTAGACTGAGTTTTATTTTTCTGATTGACCTCTCTTTAACAGCAGTTAATTGATACAAATTAATCACAATGAGATTAAAAAAGTTTTTAACTAAAAAACATTTATATACTTTTATATTTTAGATATCCATAAAATATTTTTACATACCACATACACTTTTACTGGAATGGAAATAGGCTTTGTATGTTATCCACTGTGGGTGATATTGTTTGATGTGCCATGCTGAGTACAAGTGAATTAGCATGGTGTGGGCCATTTGTTTAGTTTTGCTTGCAGGTTTTTTCTGTGGACTTTTCTTAAAGTATTTTAGCATGAAGGTTATTTGCTTCATGACGTTTCTGTAAAAGTTTGTTTCTAACAAAGTAATTGCAAAGTAAACTGTACTATGACATCGACAAAGAAATTTTTTTGCTTATTGTGAACATTTTCTTGATGATATTTCGTGCCAGGCTGCAGTAATCATATTGCATGGGAGTGCTGGGTGGGCAGAACGAGTCCTGAGCGGCCCACACCCACCGTAAGTACAAGTTGCTTGTATGTATGGATTGGTTGTAAAATATTTATGTAATATAAACCTAAAAATGTCTGAAAAACTGATATAATTGTATCTGCAATACAAAAAAAACAGTCTTGTCACTCACTTATAATATTCAAAATTGTTCCAAGTACAGAAAAAGAAGAAGAAGCTTCAAGTTTCTTGATTAGCTCAGATCTCAACAGAAACATGGACCACACTATTGTAATGCAGAATCAGTAATATTGTTACGACAGTGGAAGTCACGTGACGCTGGGAGCATGAGTACTGGAGTTTCTGGAAGGATACTAAATTAATGAGGAACCCCGCAAATGGCCGAGTATTTGCTAGAGTAAAACCAGCGGTATGAAAAGATTTAGATAGATTGAGGATAGATAGATAATTGAGTCAAGCGAACAGTAGGCACTGTAAGTAAAGTGTGTGAATCACTGTGATTTATAGGGTGTGTTGTAAAAGTTGTTAAGTCTATTACAAAGTTTGTATCGAGAAAGAATAGGTTTAGAATTAAACTAGTTTTAATCAAGAAAGTACTTGTATCGCTGAAGTTCTCGTAAAGAATTTCTACAGGAAATTAACAAACAAGCAGATATGCAACAATATTTTGTTAGTACATACAGTCTATAAATAATAGACATGACAGTTACACTTGATATTATAATGACAAGTAAACATGATAGTGAAATATTGCTACAGAATACTAGTATAGATATTTGGAAGAAAGAGATAAACGTTATGTATCTGAATATCTTCTTTTATGAATTTTGCAACCATTAATAATACATTATGGCTTTAACTACTAAATTGGGAAAATTTTACAACACAGGATTATGCCAGTAAAAGTTTTCTTATGTGTTTAAACATGTACATTCCAGCATAAAATGATATTCATTGCTAAGGTTACCAACATTACACAACATGCATAAATGAAGTTCTTTAAAACATCTATATAATATACGTTTAGAAGACTTATAAATCTCCTTATGCTAGTTCTGTATGGATTGGTCAATTAAACATTTCTCAGTATGTAAAGATAACAATCCTTATTTGGGAAAGCTTTGATTAATCTAGATATTTGATGAAACACATTCATCTAAGATTCCTTCCCATCAATAATTTTAAAATTGAATATGTTTATTTCTCCAAATGTACAATACAGAACAAAAAACATGTCCAAATCTCACCAGCAGTTAAACAGTAGTAGAGTTGTATGCAACCATAATAAACTTATCATTATGTTATTGTACTATACATTTATATATATATATATATGTAATACACAACCTTCCACTGGCTTCCAGTTTTCGCACCAGACATTTTAAACGTTTGCAATTTTAATTAACAACGTCTCAGAGAAATTGATCACACTTGATAATCTAAAATTATACAGAAAAATATTTTTGTTCATGGAATAAATTATTTCAGGCAAAACTGTACTGTAGTAAAACTTATTAAAATTTCCATAATTACATTCACAATTTATTCATGATATTGTATATTTATACAAATAAAAAGGAATCTATTGTTCAAAATTTTTTATTTACTTTAATAACTTTTACATGTTGTTGCGTCAGCGAAGTCACATGACTAGTTTCTAGAACTATCCTGTACCTTGGCGAATGCTCTAGCATTTACTAGATATAGGGTAGTCTGGTATATAAAAGAGGGTGACAACGTGACGGAACAATAGTGTGTGTAGACAGTGAGTAATTGATCTGCAGTCAGAGAGTATTGTTGAAGTTGAGCACGATCGTTGTTATAGCATTTGTTTTAGCGCGATTGTTGAAATTAAGTGTATCGTAAAGTTGTATTCGGAAAGAATAAACCAGTTTTATTAAGTAAGGACTTGTGTCGCTAAAGTTTCGTCGGAACGAAGTTACGGAAAATCAATTAACAAACGGAGACGTAACAAATTGGTGTCAGAGAGTGGTATAAGAAAAAAAAAGAGAAGAAAAATGGAAACGAGAGGCGGAAAATCAAACTACAGCTTAGCAGATTTGATGGCAGCAATACAAAAACAAGAAAAGAAACAAGAAGAACGAGAAAGAAACAAGAACAGAAATTACAACAGTTGTTAGAGGAAAAAGAAAAGAAACAAGAAGAGAGACAACAGCAGTTGCAAGAAAACCTGCAACAGTGGCAGCTCGAACAACAAAATAAACAAGAAGAGAAATTACAGCAGTTGTTGGAGGAGAAAGAAAATAAACAAGAAGAGAAATTACAGCAGCTGTTGGAGGAGAAAGAAAATAAACAAGAAGAGAGATTACAGCAGCTGTTGGAGGAGAAAGAAAATAAACAAGAAGAGAAATTACAGCAGCTGTTGGAGGAGAAAGAAAATAAACAAGAAGAGAAATTACAGCAGCTGTTGGAGGAGAAAGAAAATAAACAAGAAG